TTTTTTTCAGTGGTAGTATCAGTATCGGGAGGTAAAGCCGGCAACGCCGATATCCTAGCATTGGGAGGTAGAAGAAAAGGGATCATAAGTATATTACAGAACCTTATGGGGGGACTAGGTTATAGTTTTATCGTGTCCGACCTCCTAGGCGATAAATAATAAGCGGTCCGTCAATGATAGGCTCTTTTACAAACGGAACAAACGGTAGTATTCCTGAACGCGCTTTCTGCCTTTCAAAAATAAGCACGCGAGAGAGGTTGCATGAGGCAAAATTTTACTGCAAGTATATATTGTTTTTCCTCAATATGATAAATTGGTGAGATTTTGTTTAATCAAATCAAATCACGCATTTAAAGCGTCCACTCTGTCCTTAGGGAACGCCCATGAAATGAAGACAGAAATTCATTAATTATTAATTATGAAATACAGTATGTATATAAACGAATTGAGACATCATGAATATCACCCGCTGATCATGAAAGCTCAATCTATGTTCAACTCGAGCCGAAGCTAAATAGAAATTTGATATAGTTTTGATATCTAGTGATGCAAAAAGAGCTATCAGTAGGTCGCCATTTTTCATAACTTCTTTCGTAGTTAGACTCGATCTGAGCAACGTCTCGTCCAAAACTACCGCTTGTGAAATGCGGTCGAAACTGTAGATTGAGATAACTTATACAGTATAAAAAGCTGGGCTATGCTAATTCAAAAAAATTATGAAATAAAAGTCCTTAAGAAAAGGCCATATTCATATAGGAGGGAGGTTAAAGCATGAACTCTTTGACTCCCAGAAGTGATTAACGTATAACTTCTCCCTGAAAAAAATCCAAACATTATAGGGAAAATGTAATGAGAATACGCAAACTTATCAGGTAAGAGTTGTTATCATAATTGATCTATCTCCAAATTCTGGTCATTTATTTACAAGGAAACTTGAAGCAGCTAGTGGGGAGAATTATCAGTCAGAACTTGGGAGTTCAAGGGTTAAAAAAGATTCAAATAAAAATTCAGGACCTTTTACCGCACACACACCAAAGGGTAACTATGTCATTAAAGCTGTTTTTTAAAACGTGCGTAATTTGAATGATAGATCTGTTTCCTTCATGGGAGCCGCTTAAAACGATACTCGTCCACTTCAAATCTAGCACATTGAAACTACAAGTCAGTGACTACTTGAGCCCTACGGAAAATTCAATTTTCAGTTCTGTTTCTGATTTTCATTCAGATAAACCCAGTTTAACTAAACATGTTTTGCTGGTGTCAAAAGGGGTATTAGTTTTGTGAAACGTAAACGAGTGTTTGTGCAAATAATGTAGGGAACAAAATTACTTTGATATTTCACTAACTGTTTACAGTTTCTTTTTCGTAGTTTGCTTGTAACATGGTTCAGAGATCTTCTCCTTTTCACCATGGATTTGTCGTTTCTCTTTGGTTCCATTTTTCTTTTCTTTCGACTCCTCCTTAGTCATTGCTTCTTCAATGGAAATTTCGGCTTTCTCACCGGTTTCCTTCTCAAGTTTTCGTAATTTTTTGATAAATATAGCTTCCAAGCTATAAAGAAGTTTCTTTTTCCAGGCAATTGTCTCCTGCTTGATCCTCTCGCGAGTAGTCAAGATTTTCTGGCTCAATTCCGCGACGGTTTGTTTTTTACGCGGTAACGAAGTTTTTTTCGCCTCAGATTCAACGATAGGTAACGGACTTGGAACTTGTAATGTCAGATTTTGGGATGACGATACGTGACAGTGGTCCATATTGCGCTGAGCACTGCCATTATTCATCTTGACCCCGCATAAATTGCTCGAGTCCACATTGCGAAGAAAGGCAACACCGTCCTTCGGGGAAGATTCATATTGAGAATCATGAACTTTGCTCTCCTCTAGGAGACTACTGCAGCTGTTCCTTTTATGGTGTGATGCAGGGGTCCTTTCAATAGGCTCCTTTAGTGACTGAGTGTCTTCATAACCATTGCTTATCTCAAAGGTGAGTTTCTTAAGAAGATCGTTCCAATATTTCTTATTGTTCTCAGAGAATATCTTGGGATCGCTTTTCCGAGGCGTATCATCTCGATTGGCAATAGAATGTACGGCCACAATTTTGGGAAGAAAACTATGGTCTATTGCATAACCACCGCAACTTTCGTTCATGCCGTTAGTTTCCTCTTCAGCGGGTGGAGGTGGTACTGCTTCTGACATAGGACAATCCGTTGGTAACATAGAACTGTCTGGAGATTGACACCTCTTTCCTACATCAATGGAAACTTTGTTTTCTTGGCTATTGGTTGCTTTAGCTTTAAAATCATGGCACTTGACTTGCTCCCGTTTGGTCGTGGGTAATCTAATAGTCGATGGCAGTCTCGTTTCTTCTTTTGTTCCAATTGTATGCAGAGCTTTTGGTCCCTTCTTTCCAAATTCCATCACGTCACTTTGGTCCACAGAGCAGTGAAAGTTTTCTGCGCTTCGATTTTTTTCAGGAGCTTTGGAGCCCCACCTGCCGTTTGCCTTTGCTACCTCTTCGATTTCTTCTTTGCTATGTGAATTGTGGGCTTCATTTGGACTATTTTCAAATTGTAGGTTATCTTGCCTCTGTTTACTATAGAACGGGAAACTCTTTGTTCGATAAAGTTCTTCTGCTGATTTCGTCCTGCGTTTCAGTAAATCATTAAGACTCATAACAAACCTTGAAGAACCATAGCAAGGTGTAGATGGACTTCTTTTTATCCCTGGGCGTGAGACACTGACGTAATAAGTCTGGTCATTTAAGGCAGACGGGGATTTCTGACAGTTGTCTCCGGATGCCTCGTGATAATGCGTCAGTGAGTCTCTCCGCTGTGGACCATATTCGTTGCTGTATTCACGAGAAGATGCGATCTTGGCATTTGTGTTTCCATCCAGAGGTTCCTTGGCGTACATTTCTTGCTTAGTCTGACCCAGAAATGCAAATTTCTTTCTTGTTTGGTGTCCATTTATTAGAAGTCTAGTGTTCGTGTTTGAGTGATTTTCAGACGCAGCTGATCGATATCGGCTGTCGTCTGGCGCGATCGTGTCATTGTTATTCATGTCAGCACAGGATGGTTCATAAAACACTTCATCATACGGATCTTCTCGGTTGCGATTTAACTTAGGTATATCACCCGATGTGATTACTTTCAGACGAGACTGGTTGTTGAAAGTACCGAAAGTCAGACTTCCATCGTAGATGGGACCTTTATCCTTAATACCTCGAGTTCGAGGTCTCCCACGACGTAATTGCGGAACGTTTGATTCGGGCAATCTCGAGTATAAGGCTTCCGACCTGTTGGAGGCATCGTCGAACTTCTGATGGCTGTCTTCTCTTGATATGGGGTAGCATCGACCAATTTTATTCACAGCCTTAGTTATAAACTTTTGATCGCATTCTAAATGGTTGGAAAACTCTGTGTTGCATATCACTCGCTCCGTGGGTGAAACAACTGGGCGCTCCTTGAACTCTTGATTTTCTGGATTGCTGCTTTCATAGCAATAACATTTCCTTGTTGCGTTGACTTGGGGTTCTTCCTTTTGATCTGAGGAGGTTGGAATGGTGGTTTGGTGATGACGAATTACAGATTTCCGCCGCGTCGTTTTCACTGGTATACGTTGAACAAGTTGATTTCGTTCTAAATTCCCATCATAACAATAAGGTTGATAGGTTTGGGAGCACTCACATGCAATATAAAATTGCTCACGGTATTTTGCAAGCGATCGTTTTCTATAGTTCTGTTGTAGTTCTTCATTTCGTGTTTGATTGAAGTCTTGGGTGTCCTCGCCAACTTTAGTAGAAAGAAAGTGCTTTATAGTTTCGTTTGGCCCCATCTTGAGTCCAAAACACCTATCATGATTTTCAATGTAATCTATTTCTGCCTGGTGTGGTAGCACGAATTCGTCCTTCGGGTTTTCATGGTGCGCCGAAGTATGGCATTGCTCACATTCAACCTCCTCTTTCTTGAATTTCTTACAATTCGTATTGCTTTTTGACTCCGGAACACTCTCTGTGTCAAATTTTGAAAGCTTAGAGTAATTCTTAGGGAGGCTATGCGGACCAATTTTACGCAATGTGGATGAAAAATCTCTTAACGCAATAGAGTACGCCCCAGAACTATCAATTCTATCTTTGAGGCTGTCGTGTCTTTGGACTGATTCGACATTTCTGGTTGCAATAACTGAAGAACCTCTCGAGTGCAATGTTTTTCGTGTTTCAGGTATCGAATGTGTCCCTGGTGTCTTCTTATGGATGATAGTCGGAGAAATTTTCACGAGAGGTGGAGGAGAGTCTGGGGGTCTGCGTGTCTGTGGAGATCTCAATGGCAATTTTGGGTCCACGTGCGAGTTTTGTGCTCTCACATTTATCACATGACTTGGAACTCCAGTCTCGATCGGAATAAGCTGCCTTCCTCCTTCGAGGCGTGATCGTTTAGCGAAAGCAGAGCAGCCATACGGGCTGAGATGATCACAGCAACTACACACGCTCATATGGCAAGGCGATGGATGGTGGTGGCATCTACTTTGAAAACGAATTTGGTTTGTGTCCACTGGCATGAAGACTGGTTGCACAACGGGCCAGCTAGTATCACTGAGGGCACTATGTAAGTAAGGACGATGAGGGCTGCCTGGCATACAGTGTGGGTGGAAAGATGAATTGGCCACCGGTGAGAGATCATCATTAAATGGTGACGAGCCGCAAGCGAGTCCTCCAGTAGAGGAGAGATGAGGAAGATGCATTCTTGCAACAGGTTGTTGAATGCGGCCTGCAAAAAAATAAAAAAAGACATTTGTAGACACGTACATTTAGTAGGTAATTTCTTTTCAAGTGAACAAAGAGGGTAAGTTTCCAAAGAAACTGTGGTGCTGCGTGATTTGGCTTGATCGGAGGAATTGACAATGTAAATTGGCTCTAAGAGTCTCTAAGGCTGACGTGTCAAGCGTTAGCCCCACATCGATTATTCACTCTGGCGTAGGGCGAACACTCCAACTGTAAACTGTAAAAACTCTCAACAGTGGCCAATTTACATTACCAACTTAGTGGATGAAACCAAATGATTTAATTTCACAGCTTAGACCGTGCGCTATTTCTAATTACGTTTATGGGTAAGTGCACAGTGCTACAGAAACTTCGATCAGAAACATCATAAGTTTGTCATTGGGGAGAGGCGAACACTACACTAGGAACTTGTAGTGGGTTTCCGTATTTAATCATTTACGTTACACTGATTAAATGCATTTTCAGTTAGCTTTAGTTCTAACATTATTTGAACCCTTTCCTCAAACAAAGGTTATTTAGGTATTTAATCGTGTTAAGTAACGCTTGATATATCAACAAAATGATATCGTAAAACAGATGCATTGTATCGTCGATCTCGAAAAGGTTGAAATGCGCACAGCTCTACACATCGCATTCATCGTTCTCTATCTAAATAAAGGCAACCATAGACATGTTTTCTCAAACAAGTTTGATAATATACTGTTGCTAATTTTCATTTCAGATAGTTTGCTTTATTACGAAAGCGTTTTTCTGCGTTCACGCGAATGTTTCTCAATGTAAATGTAAACTCAAACTAAACAGAACAAAAGTAAAGGAGAAAAAAAACTTTAGACATAATTGATTTGGAACTTGTACTGTCTGTTCACGTAGGCATTTTAATATTCCAAGGATCAAGTATAATCAATTAAGCTCAAAAAATAATAATAATAAAAAAGCATTCCATGTTAAATAAACGTTCAAGAAAGGAGTTCAGTCCATCTTTAGTCCGCCATATTTTCATCACATAACTCTTCCAGAGATTCTCAAGTCAGTGGTGCTACCCCATAAACTTTTAAGGCTGAGCCTAAACACGACAGATGTAAATTTTAAACTAGATGGAGTACACAGCAACAGAAAGATTAAATACTATTCCGGTTCTGTCACGCTAAGCAGCTCGACTGAACTGCTAAATTTTAATGTGAACAATAGCGCTTAAACTGAATGAAGGTACTTCTGTCAATCACGTTGCGCGATATGAAATTATTTCAGACGAAACACGCGTAATTACCATTCTTCCATGCAGATGGAATTTCCTCCATTGGGAAGGACGTTTTTTTTCGCCTTCTGCCAAAGCCGATGTCATAACGAGTAATCATGTCTTCATTACTCGACCACTACACACCTAATTTACATTTCTTGTTTAATAGCAAAAAGCACGTAATTATCCCAGGGATAGACTCTTTAATCTCCTTATCTAAAAGACCTCAACAGCTGAGTGAATAAACAAAACTATATCATCAGTCAATCGCAGCTGTCATTATCCCACATTATTTTCACTACAAATTGATCGTGCACTGAGTACTCATTAAAATGAAAAAGAGACTAAGGGACAAATCAAAATGCCTTGTGATTATAAATTAGAGTCTGCACTCATTTGAGTGATTATCAAAGACTTAGCAGAGAAAAGCATCACACAAAAAGCTTTTCACAGCGAAGTGACATTCAATATGGATTATTTTCAGCAGAGAACACTGGGTTACAGGATTATTGTCTTAATATTGTCAGACAGGTGGAAATTTAACGGTCCTGTTTGCAATATCAACACCATGCACACCTGTGCGTCACCTAATAATGTTTCCCCTCTTGGAATCAAATTCTTTCCCTCGTTAATTTTCCTTGCTCTCTTTTCGATGAGAAGGTAGTGGTTGATCAGACGAGTAAACGCTTCCATTTTTAATGATCTTGGATTTGAAACACCGCCAACTTATCATTTTTAACTAGGTCGACCATCGATGAAGACAAAGTTGATTACAAAATAAAACACAACCAGCTGTTTGGTCACATAAAGTATCAACTTTAATTGCTTTAAAAGGCCAACGGATAAATTAAAAGAATCTATTTACCCTTTCAATATAAATTTCGCGGTCAGTGATTGGTTAAAATATTCTCATTTTAACTGCAACTGATAACGACAAATAATTACATGTGTTTGTCCAAAATCTAAATATCAGAAAATTATTTTTCAAAAACACCTAGTCATGCAAACTCTTTTGGTAATTTTCCCGACCTATGCACAGCTGTGAAAACATTTGTGCTCCTTTAATTACCTTCACGGCTCTGCTTGGTCAGGATCTGGGAATTTTTTTTTCTCTCCGGCAAAATGATTCTATTTCACACTGACTAAACTTTAAGTGTCACTTTGATCCGAAGTTCTTAAGTGTCAGATATATATAATGAGACGCTTTACTTGCACCTAACTCTTTAAATCAATAGTCAGAAAAGAAAAATCTCTCCAGTCAAATAGTGTATTGTAGTAATGTGAAACCTTACAGATTACACTAATAATATTCCACAAAACGTCGCTCTCTCATACTCACACAAACAGTTACATAAAGTTTTGTCTATCCAATTTCTATCCATATACAAGTATATAATGAAAAATTGTTCTTTTGCTTTTTCAGATTTTTTTTTAAAAGTTTATTTAACTTTTTTTATTTTTCAACTAATTAGACGTTCACTGGGGTCAAATGATAACTGCCTAGTATGAGGTTCCTATTATATCAACTGCTGCAAAATATTTATATGCATAATGAACTTGATGAGGCGGTCACGTCCCAGAATTTCCATGATGTTTAAGTATATCCTTACATGCAGGATAACATTTTCGTTGAATTGATAAAAACATGAATAACAACGGAAGATCCTAATTAAAACAAGAATTAAATATTTTCGAAAACTTGAAAGCAACTTGAATAAAAGCGGTCATCCAATATATATGCTTTGAACCCATTAAGGTCACAAATTTTTATATTTTTCTGATCATTTTAAAAACAATTTATCAACTACAATCTGACCTAGTGGTGAAACTTTGCTTTCTGAGCTGCCCCAGTGTAGTTTCAGCATTTTATTGTCTGGACAAAATAGGATTAATTAATATTTCATTTCATTTTCATTTTCATTTTCATTCAATTTATTCCTTTAAAAGTACGGCAGTGTTATCATAAAATACGCAAAGGTTTAAGCTAAATCAAAAGTACCAGAGAGCTCTTATATTCGAAATTCCAATTTCTCATTCTGCTTTTAACTATAGATAGATCTATAGTGACTGCTTCGTGATTTTACGTGCCTCTGAGATTTCCCTGCTGATCCAACTGCACAATAGTAATTGTGTTGTCTATAAAAGTCATTAATCCTTTAACTTCCTCGAGTGACCAAAACAGAATTTCTCCTAACAATACCAATTCAATATCAAGTAGAAAAAAAGATGAAAATTAAGAGAAAGATCAAGTAGGGGATCATTAGTTGATTTAAAACTAAACTCAATACGAAGAAAGAGACTTTTGGAATGAAAGAGTTAATGCAATTGTCGTGGGAAAGTCTACGTGTAGAAGTAACTGCACGATTTTTAAAAGAGTAGTTTTATAAATCTTTATCACAATTCCCACCACTGTCATTTCGCAGCGTCGTAAGTATGTAATTTCGTGTTAATTCCTCACGGTCTAAGCTTTAGGTATCTTTAAAAAACCGTGACACGTTCTCCTGTGACAATAACAAAAACTTATTCCCTGAAAATGGAGGTAATTGTCCTTCAATTTCATCGACACTGAGGAGAATAAGCGTCCTAGTTTATGGCACACAAGCTGAATAACTACCCGACCGAAAATGCTCTATTTGTGTCAAATACTCACAAATTGTAAGGCCTTGCGCACGTAGCAGTGGATATTAACTGCCATGAGCAGAGAGTACCGCTACACTTTCTTGTGGGCAAATAAAATTTTTGTCGCTGAAACTATGTTGCAATACATTCGATGTTTCATTGTTTACATCTTAAATATGGTGCTACCCTACATTACATATTTTGATTTGTTACATGTTTTAATATTTCGTCCTAAAATTCCAGGTTAGAATTTCAAACACAATTATCAAAAGATTAAAAAAAAGGTCAACGAAAACCTGTCACTAAATACTGTGCAACCAAAGTGCACTTGATTTTCCATTTTTCTGTTCTTGATTATTGTTGAAATTTTCCAAAATGAGAGGCCATTTCGCTTCCCTCTGTCTTCTCGGTGATTGATTATACTTAGCTACTCACCTTCGAGCTATCCGATCAGCGCGCCTTAAATTATGTAGTGATAAATGAACTAAAAATTCAAGTCGCCATATCTGCAAAAAAAATTTCACTGATCCGTCCTTTGAAGAAAGAGGAAAGTTTCTTCTACTAAGGAGTGATAGATCTCCCCTCCTTTCTTGTTTGGCTCTACAAGGTAACTGCTATATTCGTGGTGTTGCAGTTGAACCCCGAAAACCCGAACCCTCGGTAACTCGAATTCCCTACTAACTCAAAGCAAAACTGATTTCCCTTGAATTTGCCTCCTAAATTTATTTTAATTTTAACCCCTATGACTCGATGCCCCGATAACTCGAAACCCCGCTAACTCGAAGCGAATTTTACCAAACTTTAGATAATTTTCTTTGTAATTTTACCCTCAATAACTCAAAGTCGATTTTCACTTTTGCAGACTAATAAGCCATAACATTTTGCACCAAAAGATTACACTTAATCTCATTTATTCGTGGTTTTCATGCTTTTGTTTTGTTTTGTTTTGTCGTTTTTATGCTCTTAAATCGCTAGAAATCTTACTATGCAATGTGTAAGCAGAAAACTCCTTTAATCAAGTGTTTCTGGTCTTTTTGTTCAAAACCCCTCTAACTCGAGACCCAGATTACTCGAGGTAATTTCAATTTCCCTTGGCAATTCGAGTTATGGGGGTTCATCTGTAATTGTAAATAGCACATTGACGAAGTTAGTGATAATTATGCATTGTTCATTTTACCGCTAATTTTTTTGGCACACATTATTAGCACTTTTTGTTACCTAATGTCACTTAACTTAGACGTGTCTATTACTCCATTCGATCTGACGATGAGCTAACGCTCAAGCCATCAGCTTTAGAAACTCTTTCTGGCAGCCAATTTACATTATCAACTCAGTTGAGTAAAAACAAATTATCACGTTATACTCCCCAACCGACGCAACTCCACAGTTTCTTCAGAAAATTACCCCGTTTATCAGTTCATTAGCCGTATATTTATATTCATTTGCTCACGTAATTTTTGGTGTGTGTATGTAACGATTAAAGGTTTTTTAAGGTTGATGTTATTTTTTTAACGTTGTTCTTTTCCAAAAAATAACAGTATCCTTCCCCAGTCAAGGAGGGCATTTACTTCTACGCGGCCGATATTTGTATTAGGAATATAATCCCTAAAAATCTTTCAATCGCTTTCCTCCCACGCTACATTTACCTGATCATTCAATTAATATTCTTATGAAGTTCTGTAGATTAGCAGACCTCCTATGTTTTGTTTACCCCTTCCAGGTCTCAAGGAATTCCCAGCTTTATCTCTGTAGATTATACCTACATATGACCCCGTTAATAAGAGGAAATTTGAAAGAAACAGCTCTCTTGATTATTATCACATGACCTGAAATGGGTAAACAAAACATACAAGCTCTGGGAGGCTCCATAGGGTTTTTGCTCAATGTTGGCGCGCGCGAGAAAATTTTTATGCTTTTCAAGGTCACTAATAGCCATCAATAGGGCATTGAGCAAGTTTCGGACTATGGAATACCCCTATTTTCTTTGTCGCAAAACATAACGTAATGGAATAGAACTTCGCTAAGATCGGTATCTGAGCATGCTGAGACTTTCGAATCAGTCGCCTTTTTACAATCGCTCCCACGGTGTTCTCTTTTCGGTTGACCGCTTTTTCAGGCGTAGAAGGGGCCATGAATAATACGGATGCAGATTCCACCGCATAAAAACTGTATTGTTTTAAATTGTTTTCAGATAACAAGCGTGCGATCGTATCGAGCCGCCATAATTGTTTTGCATGTTGACATTTTCAAAGCTCGTGATATGTTCGCACCCAGATCTCATGCGGTCAAAAAAAACCTATGGAGCCTCCTTGAGAGGTCTACAGTTCTCCCCACACGGAGACTTCCCCTATCCGCCTATTAATAGTTTTTCCATTCTCTTTTCACTGTAACTTAGAGTAAAACACGAATTTTGGGACGGTGGTGTTAAAGGTATTGCTAGATTAAAGAACGTTTTTTCATTGATCAGCACAGAATTTGTTCCACACCGAAGAATGTAAATAATTGTCAAAGATGTGAACAGGGATGAGAAAAAAAAAATAAATTAAAATGAAAAGATTCTATGACTAATAAAGGTCCTAGAAGATTATAATGTTACCAGAATTTAGAATAGATAGCTTGTGTTTCCTCTCAAACGAATGCTGCTTTAAGTAGGTCTGGGTATGTGATACGAAACTTTATAATTACTTCGGCTCTTTCTTTTTTTTTTTCTCGTGGTAATTGTTTTGTTTATGAAACCGGTGACGTGATCGTTTGAGTTGGCTTTTTATCAAAAGGAGTCGCCATGGTCGTATTTTAAAGATATCTCACATATAGGGTTACTTTTAGTTCGCTCGGTTTACTTATCTCTTAGTAAAGCTCTGCCAATAGATGAATACAATGCAAACCAGAATGACTCACCGTATAACTAATACTAGACAAGTTTGTTTTAGCTGAATTAATTTTGCGAGACTACAAAGGAACATAAATATAATTGCCTCGAGGAACTTTATGATTTGTATTCATGATGAATACAAATGAAATTTCATGCTGATTCTCACTGTTCCATTTTAGTTTTCCTTAACTATAATTTACGGGAACAAAAAAAAATTGAAATAAAATGAAGTGTTCGTACGCAACAAAATCGGCAAAAAAATGCACTGAGTGGCTGATCAGAATTTACTAAACGTCTTTTGTATCCATTTAAAAACATACAAAAGCACCTATTGGACTACTGAGATGCAAATGAAGGAGGTACACTTTACTGCTCATTTCAGGATTCCAGTTTAGGTTTTATACCTAAATGAAACCCGTCGCTTATTTTCACTGTATCATTTTGTTGTCAATTTTAAGTTTTACTAGTGTCTTTGATCGCGAAAATTACATCGCCCGAGAATCAGCGGCAGTAGCACGTGCAATCCGATTGTCCGGATTAAAGTTCAGCTGTGTTTACTTAGCCCAGCATTCAATTATCTTTGACATTGCTCAGCTTGTTGCATAATCATAACATATGAAAAGAACGTCTTGATGATACCTTCCTAATCTCTGCTACAAGTCGACGGTGTTCTTACCTCTCGCATAGCCTACGCCGGATTGTGTGTGCCGTGGGCTTCGGTTTGAGTCTTGAGTCGATAACATTTGATAAGACTGCTGAATACATCTATCATATCCATAGACATCAGTCATGTCGAGGGGATCGTCTGTACATGAAATGAGAATAATTATCATATTCTTCAGACCATTCACAAAAGATTCGTCTGTAAATCACTGCTATAAGTTCGTAAAATTACAGTTTACGGTCAGTTTTTTCAATGGTCAGAATTTTTCACATGGGATTGTTACGCAGACATGTAGGTGAAAGTATAAAGAGCAACTCTACCGCAATGATATCGTACAGGACGATTTTACTTTGTTTGCTGCCCTAAAAACGCCTCCGCTTGAAAGCGGCACAAATCCTGCACTACTATTAGACAAAGTTCAAAGGAGTTTGTTTATCGACAACAGAATGGCGCAGTTAACATGCTGAAGTTGATCAATCGAAACCTTTATAGAGCCCTACCACAAAAGCAGTCGATCCTGTGCACAGCCCATCATTCGTCTTAGATACATTCAATCGCTCATACACAATAGAACAATACCGGTTCTGATCTCTCTTATGTTACTTTTATGGAGCAATATATTCATCCATAATCTGGATCGATCTGACAATTAAAGGCAGACCATTGAGAGAGGTGATCCAGATGCCAGTTGATACTAAATTTACCTTTAAAGAGAATGAAATTAAAAAAAAACGCATTCTCTTTGGTAGACAAACATTTAGTTAAGAATGATGATGATTAACACTAGAAAGCTGACGAATTTGAGCTGCATTCTTCAAACTGAATATCCTTAGACGAAGCCCATTTTTAAGGCACAGCACCATAGCAAAGCACTATGCTGTATACTTGCACTTTCAGTAGTCCCAATGAACTAATCGGGCTGATGAGCCCTCTGCAATAGGGATTAACCTGAACGCTACTCTTTTAACTAGTTTCTACGTTTTTTTTTCTTTGGCTTGGATGACTTTCGAGCGACGACTGATTCAAAGAGCATCAGGTAAAGAAATGGAACAAAAACCGTGTACATAAAGAAACATGGCGTCATCTCGATGCAGTGGTTGTCACATAATTTAAAAGACAAATATGAAAAGGTAAATAAAAATTAATGTATATTGCGAGCAAGGTTGCAGCATATTAAGGAGATTTTTTGCTCCTTCACCCATCTTATTAGTTCCCCGAGGACGAAATGTTTGGAGAACTTTTTGCAAGTGAAGCAAGTTCATAACTTCTTGGAGGAGTAAATGAACTAAGGATGACATTTACAAGCCAAACTGAACCCTTGTTGGCTTTTACCATCTCAGCCTGATGATCCTTACCTGCGTGCGTCACTAGCATCCTGCTGTATAGTCACGAGGGTTTCTATTAGTTTCTAGAGAAACGGTTGTGTCGTGTTGATGTGCAAGAGAAACAATTAGATGGCTATCAAATATATGTTGACTGATAAAAGCAGGTAAACTTCCGAAGCGAATTCTGAAAAGCTTTTTGACGCTCCAAACGTCAGCTATTCAAACAAATTCGCTATGGCGTTTTACCTCTGTCAATCAACTTATAGTTGTTTATCAACTATTGTAACGACATTGCAAATCTGAACTGACTTTAAAGTCAGGCCTTTGCCGTGAATTTGGTCTATATTGTATCTGAGAGTGACACGTCACTCTGTCACAGTCTCTATCGGGCCTATCTGCCCGCCAAGCTAAACTTATTTAAACACCGATAATTTATCCGCGAGGTGCGACTGAGGACTTAGTGGCACGGCGTTTGAACTGGACGACATTAAAGCAGCACCGGATTCATCTCTAAACTGATAAGAAACTAGTGGAAAGTAATAATGAGGTTCAGTAGGAGAATCACAGCAACGCAAAAATCAATCCTGATTTTGCTCACTTCCGCCATATCCATACAATTACAACCCAGTTCGTAAACAAATGTTCTCCCTTAAGCGCACAAACGGTCAAAGGCAAGCGTTTAACTGTTTAAAGGAAATGTCAAGCTGAAAACTTCTCAAGGGACAAGAAGATCAGCCTAAGGCACTATTGCTGTAACCCGATCATTCATTCATTTTTTTTTTCTATTTTTTTCGTGAATATCAGGTGGCCATAGGATCGATTACTATTAAAAAAAAAAATGGAAAAAAAAAATTGAAGGGAAAACTCGTGTAAAGAACAAGGTTACGTAATGCACCACGTTTATATAAGTTCTGAATAGTTGTCAATCAGATATAGGACCTCCTACTGCACGGCTGTTTGCTTATCAGAAGTGATCTGTAAATCCATATTTTGACAGAATTATAATTGTATCACGGGCTGTAAAATGGCTGTTCCTATTGTTTCACAATCTCCTTCCCTCCAGTCACTCCCGCTCTCAACGAGAGTATATGACAAAGAGATGACCACAACATAAAATCTCTTAGCCGAAGGGGGCCTAAATGTGTTGCTTAAAGTTTGTTTAAGTATCCGGGATACCTGATGTGTTACAATCTTAATCAGTTCCACTAAAGTGCTTTTCCTATTAATAACTCTCGAGTATTCTGAGCTCTTCAACGGAAAGCACTCTGAAAGTGCACAAGCTTCACATGACCATATGAACTGTATTGTAAATGAAAGCAAGGCAAGCGAATAAAGACTGTAAAAGGTATCTTCCAGAAAGACAGTGCTGATAGTGTTTAACTCTTCCCTGCAGGCTATCACGTCTGAAAGATATGCTAATGAACAAAAATGACGCAAGCGGAAGGAAGTCGAACTTCAAAGTGAAAATGAAGGTACGATTTACCTAGCAGCACCTAAAAGAGGGCGATCGGTCGCCTTCGAGCTCAACTGAGGTTTTGGATCAGGTCAAGACACATTGATCTTCAAATATAAACTAAGATATACAAAAAAGAGGATTTGGTGAAACCGTAGCACTCCATAGTAAAAAAAATTCAGTGGCTGTTACTACTGAACTGTGACAACAGAATCGCCTTAGGTGTTATATTTTCTTTTCTTCCACTGGTTTAATGACTCTGGAATGGCCGGTGATTGAGGGTTCTGTTGACAAGGGTGACGGTGATGAAACATTAAAATAGGACTCGGGCACTAGTTCCAAAAGTAAGCTAAAAAATTCTCACTCCGTCGTCTCATTTCAATCTTTACCGACAAACTTTTAGGGCATTTTTATCTTTCGTGACTTCTCTTTCTCTATGGACGATTAAATTAATTGTATAAACAACAATTCCGAAATGTTTTTGGAAAGCTGAATATCACATCTGACCTTCGCTAATCTTATGACCGGAAATTTAGAGACGTTAAAAATAACTTAGTCAAATTTCTAGAGCACTCTTTGCAAGATAAAAATGTACTTTGTTGCAGAGAAGCGCCACCTCCGAAGAAAATCGGGGAAAATGTTGAAAACATATGATTAATTACAGTAATAAGTGTTTCTCGTGTAAACTTCTTAATGTAAAATAATACATGGCAATGAAAAACGGATAATTAATTGAGGCTGAAATTATCATAATAGGTTTCTTTTATCAAAGATAATGTAAGTTGTTGCACTGGATTTTTGTAGCTACATCTCTTCGTAGAAGAGAAATAGCTACTATATTATTGTCAAATCGCCATCGGATCCTTCAAGCATGTGACTAGAAGCCATCAAAGCAGAGAGATTAAAGAATTATTAAAAAGTCTTGTACAGCTGGTTGTTCATCGATCTTATTAAAGTCGTTTTATCGCGTGACATAAGAGTGAAACGCGAACTAATTAGAATTTCTTTTGGTTAAATATTTCAGACGCACAGAGTTTGAAAGGTGTAAGGCGAAAAGCTGAGATTCCAGGGTCCTTCTTTGAGGATTCTTTACTCTGTTTGCTGTTACATGTTCATATATGATATCTCGTGAACCATTTCTCAACACATGAGAACGTGTTCGAATGTCAATCAATTACGACTCTTTCTTTGCAAGATGCATGCTTAAAATGAGAACAAGAACTCTAAAGGTTTCTCGTAATGTCAGAATCGCACGGTTATTACTGGGTTGTATAAATCACTTTCCTTATGGATAAAAATAATCTCTAAACTTACATTTCCTATGTTTACTTTATCGATCTGCTAGGTCCCTCTCCTCGCTGAAACGCAGAAAACCCCAGGCTATACAAATGTAGACATCTCTTTCTCCTCTGGTAAACAAACTCCGGGATAAAACGCTGTTTATGTTTTGCTTCAGTGCTAATTAAGTAGGAGCCAGTAAGAGATAAATTACATAACCACCACCTGTTCTTGATAACTGCATTGTCTCCCCTCCCTCTTGCCCGCAGTCATTTAATAACACTTATCCGCGTTTATCTGCGATAATGCCACGTATAACTGACAAGGTGTCATGGAGGTGCATAAACATACACGATATGAATCGACCTATCACGAACACTGCGTCACAACATTCCAAATTGGGGTAAAAATAGTAATTTTAGAATATAAAAGTGAAAAAGAATACAGTCTTTTGATGGAGATCACATTCAAAACTTACTGGCAATGTTGAATGTGAAAACTTCTCAGTGCCTCTGAAAACTCTCCTGGATAAAGATAATACTTGGCGATACGGCTAGGTTTTCGGTTTTGAAGGCCGAGGTTTCCTTTTACTGTATAATGGTTCGCTGAAATCAAAGTTTCCAGCACGCTTAAAAGGGCGATATCGGTCGCGATATATGTAGCTACTATCGATATCGGTGGCGATAAATGTAGCTACCAAGAACGATATTTTCCCCCATATAAAGTTGCTTTGAAAAAGCGAAATGTTCATCGTACCTTGAAATCAGACGGTGACGGTTTTAAAATGCTGATAGGTCCACAATAACAAGAAATATTACTAAAAAGAGTAGTCGAGTGTCTAGCTTTAAGCAAGTTTTGCAACCTGGTTTTTGCATCTCCGTTGGTCACGCTAGACAACTTACAAGGTCCTTCAGAATTGTATGTTTTTTACAGAATTCAGTTGCTGTGGTCGGTCTATTGAACAGCAGGATTGAATTGGCCGGGTTTCCCAGCGTGTAAGTTCTCTTCACAGCAAAAACTATCTGGACAGGTCAGAGAAGGTTAGCTAGTCGTTCCGTTGTTGACGAAGAGATAATCAGAGAATACAGAATCATAGCAGACAAAGTATTTTGTTTGCCGTATACTAAGACAGGCGACCGAAGCTTAGTA